AAAGGAATAAATAAAGTATGAAGTAAATATAAGGATGAAATAATTCAAAGCAGAGCTCAGAGAAAACTTCACAGAGGTGTCTGGCATTTGAGTCTTGAAGGACTAGTAAGGGTTTGCCTGCAGGTATTCTCATAAGGGTTATGGTGGACAATGCAACTAACCTCCTAATTCTTATGAAGACATGCTCTCTCCTGAATTTGCTTGGGATTTGCAGAACATTATCATTCCTTTTTATTTTCCTACTATTGCTCCAAATATTATTATTACAAGCATTCTAACCAAAGTGCTTCCCAGGCCAGCTTTCATCAGCTGGTAAGGATATACTTTCTCCTTTCTAACAACCCCCACAGCTGTACTTTAGAAAGTACTGTTTAATTTAGTGGCTGTCATTTACAGATCAGAATCATCTAAAATGCAGATTCCTGGCTACCGAGTTTTTGACTTAGTAAAATTGGGAAGGGACCTAAGATATTTAATAAGTGCCCTGTTGTTGCTAACGGTCCTCATTTTAGGACCATACTTTGAGAACAACTGCTTTAATTCACCCAGGCAATTAAGCAATAAGTTAAACTAGTTTCCCACTTTCCTGCACATTAGAATCACCAGGGGAGAATAAAAAAATAAAAATCCATGCCCAGTTCTCATTTCCAGGCTAATTAAGTGAAAATCTCTGGGAATGAAATCTAGGCATCAATATATTAAACTCTCCAGGCAATTCTAATTTGAAATTTTTAAAGAATTATTTATTTGATTTTATGTATTTATTATTATTATTCTTCAATTTGATGGGGGGAGGGCAGACAGCGAGTGAGAAAGCAAGCCACCAGGTCCAGGACTTGAACTGTAGTAAGCCATGGGGGAGTCCAGCACCTTAATTATCACACAACCTGCTGACTCCAGTAATTCCAATTTGTAGACAACATTAAGAACCACAGGCTGAGGACCTGCAGCCCCTCCGGACTGAATAATTCAGAATCTTAGGACCAACAGATGCTGTAATGGTTATGTCATTGGACTCCCATATGGCTGTTCGTAGTTTGAGTCCCAGACCCAACGACTTGAAATGCACACCAAACATGTGCGTTTGCCTGCCCCCAAATCCTGAGAGGAGAATGATGGAGAAGGAATTACAGTGTGGTCACCCTCCTGTGGGGGTGATTTCTTGCTTTCTGTCTCTTTGTCTGTCTCTTTGATGAGCACATGTGCCCTATAGCAAACATCTCTAAAATAATAATAATAATAAAATAATAAAATAACTCAATCTCTGCATCATAAGCACACCAAATGTAAGAGCTACAGAATTCCACAGAATTCAACAGAAGATTCTTTTGCATAGTGATACATAAGAATTATAATGCCATGTCTTTCTATAGAGTATAATGAAACTTTTAGGGTTCTGTTTCCAGCACATTAAAAAACTCACATGTAGGGACCAGCAGGTAATGTGGTAGTTACGGCACTAGACTCCCACATGGTCAACTATAGTTCGAGTACAGGACTTGGTGGCTTGTTCTCTCACTTTCCCTTTCTCTTTCCTTCTGGTGAATTTAAAATAATAATAATAATAATAATAATAATAATAATGATAATGATAAAATTAAACAAGTAATTCTTAAAAACAAAACTCACATGTAAATATATCACCCTCCAAATGAACACTTTCCTTTTCCCCATCTCTCACTCTATTATAATTTTCAACTCCTTCACTGATGAACAGAAAACGCAAGCAACAGCTATTGGGACCTGCATGCCAAAATATAACTCAGTGGCAATTAAAAGGAAATGGGATGGGAAAGGAACTCACAGACTGCTTTTATTATGGATCTAAAATCAAATGGCACAATTGCAGCAGATATGTTAAATTAAGTTCAAACACAGTGTTTTGGTTCTTGGATGATTAGAGCTTGAAGCATGTGTCCTTATAAACCATTTTTATTCCCTTATTAAAAGAAAATTGCTTGCTGCAAATTACATTTGCTGCTGCCTCTTGAAACTCTGATTTCACCCGGCTACAACTTCCCCAAACTCACTCTCCTTTCCATGCTTTTTCTGCTCTGTAACTAAGCCTGGCCCTAAACAAACGAACTTCCTTTATCCCTTTCTCTAGATCTTTTCCACTGTCCTTAGGTCTGTATGCATGATATAGTATTGAATATTTTTATTCAATGTTCTTTCACTATTTTTTTAAAGAGTGATTTTTGCTATAGGGTGCATGCAATTGCCAGAGAGGCACAGAGAGACAGAAGGAAAGAGAGAAATCACCTTCCCACATTCCAGGAGGGATGGCCACGCCACAATCTCTTCCACTCCATTATACTCTTGGGATTTTGAGCACACACGCACAGGCGCCTGGCATGAGTTTAAACCACCAGGTCCAGGTCTCAAATCATGGCCAACTATGTGGGAGGCCAACGAAATAACCATTACACCATCTGCTGATCCTCTTTCACTATTTATAGCTTAATACATTGTACTTCGGATAATTTTCTTCCTAACCAATATATGCACATCTTCTCTACCCAATTCCTTTGAAACTCACTTCAATTTGTGCCTAATTACTTCAGAAAATGAATGCCCTCTTTCTACTGCATGTATGAATAATAAAAAAATGATTTTAATTACAGTTTTTAAGGTCGAGTAGTATTACAATACATCAAGGGATTAAAAAAGTCCTGTAATTCGAAAGAAAATAAAAAGTAATGAAGAGCCAGTGTTATGAATTTCAACACCAGTTCAAAGAAAAAATCTGTTCAGGGAACCAGCAGTTAGCGTAATGGCTATGTCGCTGGACTCCCACGTAGTCGACCGCGGTTCGCGTCCCGGACCCGGTGGCTTAAAACTCACGCCAGGCGCATGTGCGTGCGTGCCCAAGATCCCGAGAGGAGAATGGAGGAGAAGGGATTGTGGCATGGCCATCCCCCCCGGGGGGTGATTTCTCGCTTTCTGTCTCTATGTCTCTCTCTGTCTGTCTGGCAAGCGCACGCGCCCTATAGCAAAAACCTCTCCAAAAAAAAAAAAGAAAAAGAAAAAAAAAAAGAATAAATCTGTTCTCATAAGAATGTCTACAAAATGTCTGGCTGTGGTCTTTGTTGGGGGTCATGGAGGATTGAAGGTAGAGGGTCTTGGTTGATAGCCGAAAAATATGCACGATATTCCAAAAATTTTGTACCAAACAAAACTGATACTTTAATTCCATTTCCCCATAACCTTCTTGATGTGCCATCATAAATATTTTTTGCTGTTCAAAAAAATTCTTTGCAGGAGCCAGCAGATAGTGAAATGTTTAAAACATTAGACTCTCACATATCCCACCACAGTTTGAGTTCTGGACCTGGCAGCTTGAAACTCATGCTGGGCACACATGTGTGCATGCCCAAAATCTAAAGAGGAGAAGGGATTGTGATGTGGTCAATTCCCCAGGGGGTGATTTCTCACTTTCTCTTGCTCTGTCTCTCTGGTAAATACACATGACCTATTGCAAAAATTTCTCTCTAAAAAAATATTCTTTGTAAATATAACTTAAGGACAGCATGATAGTTCATCGTGTGGATTCACCATAATTCTTGGTGGGCTGATTTTTTAAAGATCCATGTAGAATGTCAGAATGGGAGAAAATATTTGCAAATTATTCTTCAGATCAATAATTGATAGCCAGAATATATAGGGTACTCAAGTGGCTCCCTCATAAAATAATGACTAATCCAATAAAAAATGGGCAAATGATTGAGATAGACAACTCTCCAAAGAAGACTTACGAATGGCAAAAA